ACGGCCTTCACCACGCCGTTTGGATTACACCAATTTGTAACGCTTCCTTTTGGGCTGTTCGGGGCCCCGGCCACCTTCCAGCGACTCATGGACCGGATCCTCCAGACACCTGTGTCTTGTTTCAGTAATTGGTGTGGAGAGACTGGATAAAAGGGGCCACCTGGAACAGGTTGGGAGAGACAGACTGGGTATGCGAGCGACCCGGGGAGACAGGTGTAGATACACGGAAGCAAGTTGCATTCTGTTTGTTATGAGTTATTGACCGTGAATCTGGCAGCGCTGAGTGAGCGCCGTGGTGTGTACAGTGCCGGAAGGAATTTAAATAAAGCTCGCGTCCCAGCAAGCCGACCCTGTCTTCTTCCTTCCACCCTCTTGAACCTTTGTTACACTCTCGAACTCTGAAGGCTGGAACGCGCAGAGTATCTGAGGGGGTGCTCGTCATAAGGACTCGACCTAAAACTGCCCGAGGCGCAGTATGTGGCGGGACCGTCAAGATCTGAGTCAGGAGGCCACAACGAGAGAGGCGAATACGCTTGTGCAGTTCGTCCATACTCTCTAAAGTAAGGCCTGGCCTCCGAAGACAAGCAGAGGAATCAGGAACTGCTATTAGGAGCCTGAGAACGAGAGGCCTTGACCGTCGAACTCAGGTCTAACCACTTGCGTTGCCGTGGGTGAGCAGGTGGGCGAGACCTAGGACCCCAGTCCTTACGAGGGGGTAACTTAGGCGACGGCTCATGCCGCTGGACCTCGCGAGGGTGCTGAAAAGAGTACGAGCGTGAACGAGCCACAGGTGGCTGACGCTCTACTTCCCTAGCCCTGCGCGGGATGAGCTGATGAAACGTGGCGGACTGCTGTTTAGCTGCTCGAAACTTCTCCACGACAGTCGTGACCGAATCCCCGAACAGACCATCACTAGAAATGGGGACGTCCAAAAGAAAAGTCCTGTCCTTTTCCTTAAAGTCAGTGAGAGTGAGCCAAAGGTGGCGCTCAACTGACACTAAACCTGCCATGGACCTGCCCACTGCCCGAGCCGCGTGCTTGGTAGCCCTAAGCGCCAAGTCAGTAGCTCGCCTGAGCTCTTTAACAGCCTCTTGGGTCAGGCCCTCTCCCTCGTCCAGCTCCTTAAGCACATCTGCTTGATAAGCCTGGAGTACACCCATAGAATGGAGTGTAGCCGCGGCCTGACCAGCGGCCATGTAAGATTTTCAGATTAAAGCGGACGTAATCCTACACGGCTTGGACGGCAACAGAGGGCGTGACTTCCAAGACGGAGCAGAATTTGCCGCGAGATGTGCCGCGAGAGTCTCCTCTACGGCCAGCATCGCCACATAGCCGTGATCCGCCATTTAAGAAACCGTGGCGAGATCAGCGGCAGTGGGATTAGTAATACGCGCCGAAAAAGGTTGTTTCCAAGACCTCGAAACCTCATGGTGGAGGTCTTGGAAAAAGGGGAGAGGCCTACAGGGCTGAGACGGGGTGCGGCTAGATAAAAATCGGTCGTCCAGTTTCGACTGGGCCTGGTTTTGCGCCGGCTCGCTATCCCACTCTAACCCCAGCTTATCCACAGCGCGTGTTACAACGTCTAACAGTTCGCTGTAAGATGGGGAGGTGCGTTTCTCCTGTCCACTCGGAGGGAGAGAACTGCACACTTCACCCAATAAATCCTCAGAATCGGAGGCCTACTTTTAGGTCTGGAACAAACAAAGTGCAACAATGAAACATATTCCCATTTACACGTACATGACCTTTATGTACACTAATCAGTCTATCACACTAAAAAAAAAATTTGTGTGTGTGTTGTGACATTTTCTATGACATTTATTTGTCATGAAAATTATTTGTTATAGACTGTGTAGACTACCACACATTTATTTAACCCTTGGAGACACAATCCCAATCCCTCCAAACCCCACGTCACCCTGCCAAGTGCATGTTACACTTG